ATCCGATGGATGCATCATTTTCCGGAAGGTTTTTATTGTATATTATTGCTTCCAATGCTAATATTTACTTTGATTTTGGTACAATAAAATTCACAATGTCCTTTTATTTTGGAACTAAAGAAATTTTTACGGGAAAATTTGAATATCAGGCCTAACTAATCGTACACAAATAGGTCTAGTGATCGATTTAGTAAATTCAAAAAACTAAAATATATACAATGAGAAATTAAGTATTAAAGATATTAAATCCAAAATATTAAAGTACAAGGTACAATGTTTTTATAGTTACTATACTTCTGCATTTAAATAAATATATTTTATTAATACTGTACTTTTTTTAGGCACTCGATTATTTTGAAAAATCTAATAGTCTTTTCAAAACAAAAGAAATGGCTTTGAAGTATTGAATTGAATTTTACACATATTCAAAAAAATATGCGAAATTAAAGATTTCGAACATGCAAAAAAGCTTTTGAAACAACTTGAGTAGAAATAATAAAAACAAACACCTTTTTTGAAAAATAAGTTCTGCTTTTAACTTTATATATGTATTAAAAAAAATTGAATTTAAGTATTAGAATAAAGATAATAGTTAGAGATCAGAGTAAGGCATAAATTATAGTAAAGCTTTACAAAAATTTTTTAAAAACATTTATTGAAATTAATTAAGTATTAATCAAGAAATTTTTTCTGAGATTTAGAAATCTCAAAAATTATATGTTTGCTTCTCAGCTGACCTGCATTTGATGGATCCCCTTATGAGTTGTATATACAGGATCTGCATCTAATGGATCCCCTTATGAGTTGTATATACAGGTGCTGCGACAAAATAACGAAAAGTCCATAAAAACTATTAAACATTCCGAAGTGAAGCGAGGACACTAACTGTTTGATCAATCTCACGTGTTACACGCATTGTATTCAGAATAAAAAATCGTGATTTTAGGATCTGTAGTCAGTGCATTCTGAATATTTGAACATTAGTAATATTAGCGAAATACAATTTTATATCAATATATGTATGGGTGAACTTCTATTAATTTCGTAGACGAAGTTTGTCAAGTTAGCCATTACATTCTCTCTTTATTGAATAAGGAACACTATACGATCGATTCTAAACTAAAAACACTCTTTAGCTTGTTCATAATCTAACAACTATAATATCCCTATGTCCCTTACTACGTGACCTTTTGTTATTAGTTATATGACTTCCGAAATGTATTTGATGGTTAGCATCGGATATTACACTGTGATTGTGACTAAGTCATGTTATGAGCATATTATATAATATTCAACCAAGCGACTTTATCCTATATAAATTAATTGATTCTCGTGCAGGGTTGTAACGGCAATTTATGGTAAATTACCAAAATGATAGTTTACCGATGACAGGCTTGTATTTTATTCCGAAGGTCTCCGTCCATTTCCGATAATGGTTGATAATTTACCATCAAAAATTATGGTAACCAACCTATCGATAACGGTAAAGTTACGACTAATAGCCCTGTTTTCGTGACATGAATTTCAATTTAATCATAAAAAAATCATAAAACCTCTTAATTTTGAGAGGACTCGAATTCAAAAATTCAATGATCTGCAAATTTAATCTATAGTATAATCTATAGTATAAACCGATAAACTTTACAGGAAGTCATACGTTATGATTTAATGTAATATTATGATTTAGTGGATGAGTAAAATGATTACTTGATACTGTACAGCACTTTTTCTGTAAGTTTTAAAGTTTCTAACTTTTGAGATTTATAAAGATGCCATTTAATCTTATATATTTGTTGTCATATACACGTCATCAAATATGTGATATCATAAATACTACAAAAATAAGAAAAGTTTCTATCAAACTTTCTATTTTGTTGATATCTTTTAATGAACACGAACCTACCTAATCTTTCTAATTCTCAAATGCCACCTTCTTGCGAAAACTGTTATATTCTTACCTCTCAACTTATTGTAAAGGATGAAACTATATCATCGCTTCAACAATATATCATAAAATTACAAAAAGATTTGTTACTTACTCAACAAGAATTAATTCGTTGTAACGAAACGTTAGAGCATTATAGTTGCTCTTCAATTGCAAGTAGTCATAATGTTGATATTATTAGTCATCGTCAACATACAACAAAGTCAAAAACTTGTATGAATCCTTTTCATGAGTTGAATGATGGAGAATTAAGTGGCAGCGAAAGTTGTAGTGGAACTGCGACTTTTCATAAAACCGAAAGATGTTTTCAAAATATTTTAGATAATATTGGAACTCTCAAAATTCAAGAAGGTAATAATAATAATATGGTACTATTTTTCATAATCTTTATCTTCTAGTATATTAACTTGCATCCGGAATTAAATTATTTTACAGAATACAAAGTTTGGATCGGAAATGTCATCCCTCCTATTACAATTCAAGGATTAAAGTATAGATTTGAAGATGAATTTGGAGAAGTTTCATCGATTGAGCACTATGCTCCTCAAGTATGCATTTCTATTTTTATTTTATCCTTTTCATGTTGGTGTAAGTTTTTTTTTTTAAGTTCTTGATTGTTAATTTATATAATAATTTATATTACGATTGGAATAGCCATACGCCTATGTTACTTTTAAAAACCAAGATGCATTTTATAAAGCAGTCAAAACGAAGAGAATTTATGTACAAGGAGTTAGAATCAACGTTGAGAGACCAAGACATTAATTTGTGAAAGGCATAATAATTTTATGCTGGGATTTATCTGCTTATAACGATGAGGCCATTTTTATTTTACATCATTACCACATGGGCATGCTAACACGCGCATTTCGAAAAATCATTATACTTTTCAGAACACCTGCATTTTATACTCAAGGACTTTGACATACGATTTAAATAATTCTAATATGATACTAAATTATAATGGCATTCAATAAGTTATTTTTACTATTATCAGTAGTCTTTGCGAATTTAAAAATTTATGTTTTATTGTGATTCATTGTTAATTAGTCATTGAAATATAATCGAGTCTAAATTTTATCGTTTATTAAATTTTTATCGTTTATTAAATTTAATCATGAACTCAATCCATTCATCAGATCGAAAATTCTATTATACCTGTATAATGTAGTAAATCTTTAATATTGACACGGGTTAATAATGATTTTATTATATATCCATTGTTATGTATAACCTTTTCGGAGCAAAAAATACCAATCATTCAATCTTATTACGTGACTTAAAATAATCTTTTTCATAGATTTAAGTTTATCTTAAATATCTAATTATTGAATTAAATATTTATTATAAATAAATAAATAATGCGGGTAAATTCTTCTTGACATATAGTAAATGGTGAATAGAATGGTTTTGACAAATAATATTTTAATGATTTGTTTATCCAATTTTAGCAATTTGGTTAGTTATATCTCATGTTATTACATAAAAATAAAAAAATGTTGACCAGTGCCAGAGACACGGGTTATATGGGTTATATGCTAGTTATCTTTATTGTAAATTGTTTGATTTTTATGCAAGATCCAGAAATTTTATTGTTACCAGCACGCGACTCTGGCCAATCAAATTACTAGATCAAGTGTAACGTAAAACATCAAAACAAAATAAATATATCTCAAAATTGAGATTTTTTTTAGATCTCGTCAGCTCAAACAAGTAAACATATTACGTATCATTGTATATTTGCATACTTGTATGTTAGACATTGTAATTGTATTATATATTTTTGCATAGAAATTTCAAGGTTTTCAGAATCATACAAGTGTGCCGGCATTTTGACTGTTTAATATTTGACACATTATTATTATTGTTATCACTATTATTTATTGCAACAATATTTCAACTCCCCCCATACTGGTGTCACGTAAACTTATTTTACACCGTGAACTTTGTCAAGTATCGTACAATGCATACAATGCGATGTACAATGCATTTCATTAAGGTAGGGTAGGGTCTAAGCTATAACAAGGCAGAATTAAAACTTAACCACTTTTTATCATCTTTGATTGATGCCTTATATATCTAACTATTACACATCTTACTTTATTGTTTATGCAATAGATATTTTAAATTTGATTAATTTATGCAAACTCTGATAAGGAGACGATCACGATCACAATCATGCCTTACTTCGCATTACAAATTCCCGGGATCACAAATTAACCTGACACTAGATATTGCTATACGACTTTATACCTTCAACAAGTTATTAAAGAGATCCTTACCTCTCCCCTTCAAAGATAAAAGGTATCAAACCTAAATTAGCACTTAATTACTTGATTATTTAAGAACATCATAAAAATTGAATTTAAAATTTTGATTTCAAACTTAATCCTTTAAGTCAATCTAGAAAAAATAGTTTAATTATTACCTATAAGAGTTTAAAAAAGATTATAGAAAAAAAAAGTATAAAATGGCTTCATTTCTGATTAGCAAAACTAGTAAAGAATGGAATCATTGCTAGCAGTATTACTAGTCCATATGCATACCATTGGGAGTCGGTAGCATCCCCGAAAATTCTTGGAGCTAGGTTTCGTCCTTGGTACAAGTCCCGAAATCAGGTTTCGTTCTCGGTACATTGTATAACAAACTCCAATATTTTTAAAGAGTGACAAATGAATGAGTAATTTAACAGCGGACACAATAATTAAAAAAATTCAAGGTAAATAATTAGTACGTATATACATTTCAATTATAAATTTATCTAATACTGTTGCATATTATAAATAGAATAATGCAAATGTAGATATTCAATTAAATACACTGAGAATCATGATTACTGTCGCACTTGTCAAGAAGATGAATTAACAAAATCGGAGGAAACTTATTATGGGCAAATAGGAATTAGAATACAGAAAGAACCACTCGTACAAGTTTAACACGCCTCTTCTGACCAACTCTTATCGTAAACTAGTCGCTATATTGTTATATGCAAACTACATATTTTCATCTTGTTCTAGAAACCTTGTTATCCGTTCAGAGGCAGCATCATATAAACATTGTTATTCATTCGAAGGTATCAATCATCAATTTCTTGAGTCATTTATAACGGAGGTGTACATAGATAATTACAAGAGAAAATTATAGAACTAGAACATAAGGTTTCCAATATCAATAATTCATGAAGGTTGAAGAAATTAATGGTGGAATAAATTTGAATACAATAATTCTAATGTGATTGATTAATTGATTAAAAATGTCTGCAATTTTTTTTTTATCGAAACATAACAGTAACTTTTCCATTTAACAAAATAAATATAACCATGCGGAAAATTTTGAGAATCGTAATTATTATCCCTTAAACCGTCTAGCGGCTATATATGGCCGCTAAAATGTTTTTTTTATATATTTTTTGTAATTACTTAAAATTTTATTAAGCTTGACCCCCCTATTTCTAAGCTAAAATAAAAATATAACATATAATTAATTAATAATTTACAAAATTTTTTAAATAATTTTAATACTATTAAAAATATTAATTATTGAATATTGTCAATTTTGAACTTTTCTTAT